AATCTACAGTCTCTATCGGAAGTGATGGAAATTGACATATCATACAGTCGTATAATCTATTTGATGTACACTCTAGTCAATTTCTCCATCTTATCAGTTTCTTTGATTGGTAGGAAGTGTGTGGTAACTTGGTTACGAATTCCATATTTATCCACTTCCACTTCCTTTTGGGTATCACTGGTTGTTGTAGGAAACTCGAAGGCTTCTGTGATTCTACCCTAACCTTAGCACAAGTCAGATACTCGACCACATATGTAGCGAGGTTAGCTTTCCTATTCGGCTGCCGATATCGCTTTTTGAGGTCCCTATTCATTATGATTGAGCCGGGATGAACGAAGTAGCGAGTGTTGTGTGCTTCGTTCTTGACGATGTCTCTGAATCCACCAACTTTGGCGTCCAGATTCGGTTCATAGGGTAACATGTTCTGCTGCTCTTTTCTTCTAGGTTCTTATGATCGGTAATGATTGTACATTTCGTGTCGTAGAGATAGTGCCTCCAGATCTCTAGGGCGAATACTACTGCTCCTAGTTCGAAGTCATGCGCGATCTAGCCGACCCCGTACATCTTTAGTTGTCTTGAGGCATAGGTAATGACTTCTCGTTGGATCTTTGCGTAAGGCATGCTTCAGTGTTTAGAGGGCGGTTTCTTTCTTCCCTCTCTAAGTGGTTTTTTATTCTCATTTGCCGTTTAGATTGGTAGAGAGCATATGGGTTTGGTTTACGCGACAAGACTCATTCGAATGGTAAAATGTCCACTCGCACTCTTGGGTAGCTTTTTCCCAAAGTTCATGGTAGGACTCGTACCTGGTCCATCTATTATTACTCATGCATATAGGTCGTATGTAATTAAGGCTGGTAAGACAGTTGGATGGGTGACTCTGCTCCAAGTCCACAACCAGACAAGGAACAGGAAATAGCGCGGAAACAAGCATCCAATGTCCGCAGAATTTTAATTATATATTATCCTCACGTATACACTTAGTAGTGATAGGTTGACTACATTCGTCCCAAGCCTCTTTACTTGAACCTTATTTGCTGCATGCGTGATATTCCCGAAGGGTCTGCTGGGAATACTTCAGAAAGGTTTCGGAGGACATAATACTCCTCCCATGAGTACTTCGATGTTTCGCAACGAGGGATGACTCGGAGGTCTGTGTCGGATTTGTGTTTACGAGAGACAAGGGTTTCTATATTCAGCGGGTTAGGTGAAGGGTCTTTTCGTAGCCATTCAATTGGGAAGGTGAGGACTAAAACAATCCAAATCGAATGACAACATAAAATCTTTTTAGTAAGATATGGGTTAAGTTGTATTCGTACGAAATATTTGTTAGGGAGATAAAGCACCCTGTGCTTCTTGTTAGAGTGTCTTTTGTACTTGTAATGTGTTTTTAATTTTAATGAATACCCAAGAAAATCCAATATTTTCCTTATAAAATGTTGTGTAGTCTTAAAACCCAAGACTGAGTGTAAGAGTGTGTTTTGTACTTGTAAGGTGTTTGTAATTTTAATGAATACCCAAGAAAATCCAATATTTTCCTTACAAAATGCTATGTAGTCTTAAATCCCAAGACTAAGTGTAAGAGTGTGTTTTGTACTTGTAACGTGTTTGTATGCAGTTTTAAAATAGATAAAAACCCTTTTTAAAGTAGAAATTCTCGTAAACTACATGTGTTGTTATCTCCGTATGTGAGTCGCTATAACCATACTATAACAGAGATGCCTGCTGCGACGTTCTTCAGGCGTCGGGATTGAAATGATATTTGTCACGCCCGATTGGCCGATCGGGCTTATGCAAGTAGCATGGGTGTGGGTTGTCAATCCCAATATAGATCTATACACAATTATCACGCTCTCACTAAAGAGAACCTGGTTATAACTAATCAGGAATTTTAACCTATACTCTAAGAGTACAATGAAGACGAGTCTCATAATTTACGATAACTTGTTTACGTGTAGTATGCGAGTAAAACCTTTTCTGTGCTGAAAGTGAAACCCCTTTTCGTGCGATTTGTTTAAAATTTGAAATCCCTAAACTATACCCTTTACAGTTTATTGTGTAATAAATGAAAACCCATTTGTATTGAGAGTAAAACCCTATTCATGTAGGATGCTTGTATTGTGAAATCCTTAAACTATACTTATTATAGTTTATTGTACTCATTAGAAGTGTTTGAAATCCTTGTCATGAATGACTAATTTATATTTCTGATGTTAGACTAACAAGAAATACATTCCAAATTTATAAACTTATTCTTATACACTTTGCTCGACATGCTACAAAGTGTTGTTAATGTTGTAAGCTATATAACTAGCTTTTAACTTTTGTGCACTGTTTTATAAAAATCATAAAAAACTTATACGGAGTCGAAAACTGAATCCGTAAACTCTGAGAGTTTAGAAAATGTATCTAGTTTATTCATAATTTTTATTATGATTTTTAGAAGTCTTTAACTGGTGTGGAAATGTTCATATTCACAAACTGGTCCGAATTCGTTTATGAAATGATAGGAAGTTTGGTAAAAATTACCATAAATTTTAGAAAAATCGTATAGAGATGTGAAAATAGTGATTAGAAAGGTATAAGCTGAATCTATTTGAATATTATACAGTTTTGGAAGATATTAAGTCTAAGATATTCAAAACAGTCTGTTAATGGAACTAAACTTTCCTGTTAAAAGTTGATGTTTGAGTTTAGTTATGTTTGTTTTGTTTTAAATTGTATTCTCCCACTAAAACTTGAAGAAAACATGAAAATGTGGGGGTATGAACTCACCTTGAGTGGTTCCCTGAGATGGATGTTGGAGGAATGAGGTTTCCAAGTCAAGAACACTTGGAGAAAGCTTGAGGACTTGAAGATCCTAAGAACCATTAGGATGGCATTTGAATAAGAAATCCAAGATTTGAATATAGAAGTGAAGAATATTTAAGAGTAATGAGGAAGAACTTACCAAGAGTGAAGTAGGAACAATTGCTTCCTGGGAATAATCTCGAATTTCTAGAGAGAAAAGTGGAAGGAGGAAAAAGCGTTCTTTTGAAGGATATGGGTGAGGTTTTGTAGGTGAAGGTTGAAAATCTAACAAGTAGATTTGTTTAAGAGGATCTGGTGGAGTGTTGGAAGAAAGATATGGATTTGACTAGGTACTTTGTAAATATTGACATAAAGTTGTCATAGTGTAGGTGATTACCTCTTGAACAAAGTCCTGAGTCTTAGACATTTTGTAATGAAAGGTGTCCTAACTCTTCAAGGTTGACATAAAATAGGGGTTTGGAGAGTTGAAGTCATGAACATAATCAAGTCTAAGGAAATTTTCGAAGTCAAAACCACTTAAAATGACTAAAAAGTCTGAAATGGTTGAAAATTTGTAGCCCAATGGCAAATTCCGGAGTCAAATAGAGAAATTCGGAGCCAAAGTATGAGTTTCGAAGCCTTTAGGTGCGTTCCGAAGGAAATACTTAAGTTTCGGAACCGACTCAATAATTCTGAAACTCTACTCAGTGTTCCGGAGTGGGATTCCAGATTCAGCCTCCAAGTTCCGAAGATAGTCTCATTTCTGGAGTTGTTTGGTAATTTCCATAGTCAAGGTGAAGACAACATGTCCGGACTGAAACTGCGAAGTCTTCCGGGGTGGCACGAGGATTTCCGGAGCAAAAGGAAGGTTCCGGAGAACATACATTCCGAAGTGGGTCTGCATCTTCCGGAGTGGATTCATGGGTTCGTAGATGCAAGGTTGTCCAAGCGAAGTCCTCTTATCGCATGCGAGATGGTTCGAAGCAAGGCATTCCGGAGCTACTTTCCGGAGTGAAGAAGTTCCGAAGCTGAAGGAGGTGCGAATTTGTCCGGTTTCTTAAGAAGGTTCCGGACCAAGAGGGTTCCGGACTAAGAGGGTTCCTTTTGGGTTTTTCCTTCGGTTTTTGGGCTGTTTTCGACTGAGGAAGGTACATAGAGAGATTTGGGAGAGGTTTGACATACATGGAGAGATTTGGGAGAGATTTCATATTCTTAGAGAGATTTGGGAGAGATTTCATATTGTTGGAGAGATTTGGGAGAGTTTTCATATTCTTGGAGAGATTTGGGAGAGATTTCATATTCTTGGAGAGATTTGGGGAGATAGATAGATACAATGGGAGAGATTGAGAGAGACTTTGCCTGGGGCCTTTATTAATGTTGTTCTTCGTAGTTTATAGACTGTGGACTTAGTTACATCCTCGTTTGAGTGTTATACACCCCCGAAAGGCATGTAATAGTGTTTTATAGAGTTGTTACTTCCCTCAATCTAATTAGGGTTTAGAATTTTGAACATTTGAAACTTTCAAGTGTTACTTTGCATTTAAGATTTAGAGTCATATATTAGTAACATAAAATAATCTGTAACATATTAGCCCTAGTTGAGTTGACCAGTTTGTCTTGTTGACTTTCTTTGACTTTGACTTGGCCAGAAAGTGACGGTTGTCACAAAAACAACCCCAAAACATGCAACCATAAACCTCAGAAAGAGATGATCCCCCTACTTATACATCGGTTTAAACAAGTAATAAATCCTCCATGATTTTTAACAAAACGTGCCCAAAGGGTCCGAAGGATCATAACCTTCCCCTGACAATTAGGCACATACGAGTCCAAGGATCCTCGAGGTGACGACCTCGGCTCACCTTAAGCGACCACAAAAGAGAGGCAGTTGGCCGCTCAGTTAAGAGCCAAAAGCAAGGCCTACAATATACTCTTCGGGAAGACCCCTCTCTAAACACACACACACAGATATATATATATATATATATATATATATATATATATAAAGTTCGTAAGAACGGGCAAACATTAGTGATGAGGACACAGCAAGAGTGAGTACAACAACGTTCTATACAGTACATAAAACAAGAGATAAAACAAAAAACATGCAAAAATAAAATGTGAATTAACCCTAGCGAGGTTGAGTCGAAGCAGTGCCCCCAACGCCACCATCTAGCACGTGTTCTTCCTCTTCAGAGCACAATTTGCGAAGATCAGGAAGGTCGAGCACCGAAATGGAGGTAGGACATGAAATCCGTCTCGGCAAAAGCCCTAATTGCAGCATGCATTGTATCAATAGATTGTGCCACAGTGTCCGGATTAGACGAGCCAGGGCTATTACCAACCGACTGCGTGCATGCCACCTGCTTTCCCTTCTCAACACTAGCAGCCACATACGCCGCCTTCACTCGACGAATCCTAAGCGCGAATTCACTGCTCTTAATAACACGATCCACCACCCGAACCACTCCCTTCTGGAGAACCAACGCTAAATCAACCTCCAAGCTTTTCCTCCTCGAGACCTTAGAGGTGAATTGATCGTCTCGTAGTTCCAAACGCTCCACAAATGCTTCTTTCTCTGATTCCAAATTTTGGACCTACTGTGATAAGAGATCCACCTCCCAATCTAGGGTCGCCACCTAAGCTTCCGCAATAGTCTTTTCCCCTGACAGCATGAGGTAGCGCTCATCAAAATTGCGCCGCTCCTCTTCAAGAAGCCAAACCTTCTCCACAAGCTCGTTATGCTCGGATTTAACAGCAGCCAACTCTGCTAAATAAGCCCCGATGTAACAAAGACGACCAGCAACTGCCAGCAAGTAGGGAGCAACCTGAGTAGCGGCATATTGAAGATCATTCGCCATGTGAGAATAAGAAAGAGCGTCAAGAGCCTCTAGGGTAGCTGGGGGAAACGCATGTTAGCACCATTCACAGGCATGTCCTTTTTCCGACAAAAAGGAACCTGGTGCAAGACTCCATCCAGGGAGATACACGCCAGTCGCACCCAAAGACGAAGGACCCACCGCCGACGGGGCATCACTGGGAACAGTGGATAGAAATCTGTTGTTTCCACCGCTTACGAGTCGTCAATCTTAGCAATCTCAATAACAACACGGGACTTAGAAAACAGAGGATCAGGTCTTATTTCATGTCAACCCGTTTATTTAAACGGGTTAAAATATCTTACCCAAACTCGTTTATTTCATATCGAGTTCTTGTCGGGTTTCGAATTGTGTCAATTTTTGCTAAGTCTACTTAAAGTACATGTATTAACCATGGTTTTATATGCAAAAATAATACATTTATAACACAAATTATCGAGAAATGATTTGTATAAAACAATTTTTTTCGATACACGACAATTTATTATTTACAGAATTGTACAATACAACATTTTAAAACAAAAATTATTATGTATAGAGAAAAATTATTGACTACAAATTAACTTCTATTTACAAATATCGGTAAATAATGTAAAAATATGTATTATATGTATTTATGCACAAATAGGTGTATATTATATACATTTATGTAAAAAAAAAAAATACAAACTTTATGTATTTTGTACGTTAGTCACACACTTATGTCGCATACATATTATTCACATATATGGACAAAATCCAACAAAAATATGTGTTTTAATAATTGTTTGACCAAAATATTAAGCAAACACGTATATAATTAATCAAGAGCTGGAATATGAACCTATTAAACAACATCAAATCCATAACAATGCCATAAAAAATCAGATATAATAACAAAACATAACTAATGTTTTCAAAAGCAAGCTAGCAAGACTATTGTATAGCAAAATGTTCTAAGCTTCTTTTATGTGCCGGAATAGAGTTGTTAGCACTTGATCGGTCATCAAAGATAACTTCAGCAGCTCAAATGCCTACCAACAACCAAACAACAAAATTCACATTAAGACACACAATATTGTGTAAATCAAGTAAAAAAGAACACGAAATTATTACCTCATCTTTTCCAAAAGGCAATGCTATCTCCTCAAGCTGGCTCAAATCCTTCACACCATAGTTATTGATGAGAGTAATGCTTGTGATGGTGGACATTGGCTTGATTACAAGGTCATCCATCACCATATAAGTAACAGTCTCCTTCACCACAGCTTCTTCATTACTAGGCCACCTAACGAACGTCATTGGGACATTCATCAAACGACCACACTGCAGACACCTAGCATCTTGATGATCACTCACATGCCTAAGTCCACAAAACCCGTACCCATCAAAGGGTATTGAACCTGGAGCATAGCTACACATGAAGAGTGTTTTTGCTTTTGATGCAGAGGGCTTATCATGGTCTGTGGAAGCATCATTTGAGTACAGAAAAAAATGTTATCCTTGAATTTTTTTTTTTTGGATTAATTAAAGATGTAACCTTTGCTTATACCTGGTTGAAGGTGGGTTTGATTAAGGGTTTCGATGCTTTCTTTGAGTTTACCTAAGCAACCCACCATTTGTTTGGAGCTCGGGAACTTGATGAGTGTGCCAAGAGGTAAAGCGAAGATGTGGAAAAGAAGATCCACGAACTCCTTGCTTGCTTCTGCATATAAGACTTTCTGGACTCTCTTGTCAACCAAAAGCTTAAGAATCATGTTTGAAGAAGCCATCTGTGAAGTTTATCAAATCTTGATATGAGATTTTAGAACACGGGAGCTGTGGAGATAAAGAATTTGAAGGAGCTTTTAAATGCTTGTATTTAAAAATGAGTAATTTGTAACTATTTGAAAGAAACAAAGATTTTGAAAAAACTTCATTATCTTCAAGGCGCTGATTGGTAATAATTTTGGCATGCAAATAATCTCGGTAACATACATACTCATTGCCTACTGTATTAATTCCGTTTTGTGTAGTATAGTAGTCATCATTTCCAAGCCTTTAAAACCACCATGCAAACCTAAAAGTGATTGGAAGCTAGCATGCCTTGTTTAAATGAAGAACCTCAAGAAAGATACTTCTACAGTCATAGGGAAAGAAAACTACAGGAGTAAGTGGAGGCATAGCTCATCTCCGAGCCTTTAAAAACACCATGCAAACCATAAATCCATAATCGACATCTCCCACTCCTAGTATACCATTTTTGGGGAAGCTCTAGCCGAGCTCCACCAAAAATACCATGCACCGGTATACCATTTTTGCCGAGTTTTTTTTTTTTTTTTTTTTTTTTTTTTTTTTTTTTTTTTTGTAAAAATAGGTTTCTTTTTTTAATTAGTTGGTAGAAATAGGTTTGTTTAAAAAACCTTTGTAGAAAATAGGTTAGTCGTTAAAGGGACCCACAATTCTATCGGTTATAACCCCTATTACTAAAGATGTAACTAAAAAATGATATGTATTTGCATATTCAACACTAACATTATACAATTTCAGCCCTTCAAATTTGATCTTACTCTTCATTTACCTCTTTTAATATATAAAACTTCAAACTTTACCTCTATTATATATCATGAATAATTTAATCTATTTAAAATATATAATTATAATTTGTATATTGTTTTTTAACAAAGTCATAAAATACATCATAAATACACACCACTATTGAATAAAAGATCTTAAAACCACAATATCATAAGAAGTAAGCTTTAAATTACAGTATTTTTTTGAACCGACAATATAATATAGAATCTATTCCTAAATCCACATATATTCATGACGATACTTGAACACTCGATCTTAAGAAAGAAGGATATCACCTGATAACGCTCGGTTTGGAATACAATATTAATAAAACCACATTATCTCCCTTACGAATATGTATTTCAGACGTTTCTGACCATAAACTACCGACACTTCACACGTTTTCAGACTGTAGAAGTGTATTTTGGACATTTTAGAGTATACATATCGAATATTTCGAATCAAGATTTTCTCATATTTCGAACTAAACCATAATGAAAAAACCCGCCCTTACAATTCTTATAATATAGTTTTTAGTTAAATTTGATGTTTATTTTGTATTGTTATTTTATTTTATTTGATAATGTAATTTTGTAACATTTTAATATATTTACTAGTGATATCTATTTGAATTTGTTAATTAGATATACTTAAAGTTTAATTATATATAGTAAATATTACAATTTATGTATTATTTGTCAAAGAAAATAACACAAAAGATGACATGTTTTTATTTTTTTTTATTTTGGCATTGCATTATTATTTTTTTTTAATTTGATATCGTATTTTCTAATTTTGTTATATATTGACTATTTTATCGAGACCTCTCATGGTGATTTGGAAAATACAATGTCAATATCGCCAAAATAAAAAAATTTAAAAAAAAATTAAAAATTGGATAATATGATGTCATAGTCGAAAAAGGAGGAAACGAGGTGTCTTTTGTGCCGTCGAACAAAAATGAAAATGTCAATATGGAACAAAATTGGAAAATACGATATTCAATTTTTTTTTTAAATATCGTTTCAAAATCGTAAAAAATTATAACATTGTGTTTTTGCATCATTTTTTATATTTTTAAATAGTTATATCATTAGGAATAAATTTCGGATATTTTTTACAGTAAATTAAACACATTTCAAACATTAATTTCACACGGTTTCTAATGTTTTAATTAATATTTTATTAATATTGTTGTGTATTTCAAGTTATTGATGAGATATGTTTTATTATTTAATTTGTTAAAAATAATATATAAATTATAATTATTCACTTTAAATAAATTAAACACATTTCAAACATTAATTTCAGATATTTCACACAGTTTCTATTGTTTTAATTAATCTTTTATTAATATTGTTGTGTATTTTAAGTTATTGATGAGATATATTTTATTATTTAATTTGTTAAAAATAATATATAAATTATAATTATATAATTTAAATAAATTAATTGTGTGTAATTAATAACAATGGTAAAACTTGGTGTTTTTAATAATAAAAAAGGTAAATAAAAAGTAGATAAATTTTGAAGGGCAAAAATTATAACATTATAACATATGAAGGTTAGAAATGTATATATATATATATATATATATATATATATATATATATATATATATATATATATATATATATATATATATATATATATATATATATATATATATATATATATATATAACTAGAAACCTCAGAAATAAGAGTTAGGACCTTAGATTGATAAAGCTGGTGGGTCCATTTTTAAAAAACAACCTATTTTCTACAAAGGTTTTCCGAACAACCTAGTTCTACCGATTGATTTAAAAATCACCCTACTTTTACAAAAAAAAAAAAAAAAAAAAAAAAAAAAAAAAAAAAAAAAAAAAACTCCATTTTTGCCATGAAGAGAGAGATTGAGAGAGGGAAGAGAAAGAAGATAAAGATACAAAGAGGGAGGAAGATCAACTCAGCAATGGGGAGTCGAGTTCACCAAACCATGATTCCATATACTCCATCAATGGCTTCTCCAAACACGACAATGAAGCTTCTAATAGACAAGAAAACCCAGAAAGTTTTGTTTGCCGAAGCCACCAAAGAGTTTGTGGATTTCCTTTTCCATATATTCTCTTTACCTCTTGGCAGCCTCATCCACTTCCTAGGCTCCAAACAAATGGTGGGTTGCTTAGGTGAACTCAAAGAAAGCGTCAAGAACTTTAATCAAACGTATCTTCAACCAGGCATCGACAAAGATGTTATCTTTAATCCTGAAATTGCATTCAATGGAAACATGTTTCTATTGTTGAATGATGCTTTTGCGGATGATAAACCTGCTACATCAAAAACACTTTACCGATGTAGTTTTACTCCTCGTTCAGGGTATGATGCTTTTGATGGTTACAATACTTGCCATTTTAAACACGTGACTGAGCATCCGGATGTTAAGTGTCCAAGTTGTCGTCATTTGGTGAAGGAAGCCATAGGGGAAAGAGGAAACTGATCACAGGAGGGTATGTAAAAGATGTGGTGACTTATATGGTTATGGATAACTTGTTGGTGAAGCCCATGTCCACCATTTCAACCATTACTCTCATCAATAACTTTGCTGTGAACGATTTAAGTTAGCTTGAGGAGAAAACATTGCCTTTCGGAAAAAGATGAGGTGATATATATTAATTTTCAAATACTTGTCGAATATTTTTCATATTTTAATGTGATTTTTTTTTGTTTGAGCTTTGATAGGCATTGAAGTTGTTGAAGGCATCTTTAATGACTGATCAAGTCCTCACAACTCTACTTCGGCAGGATGATTAGATCATTTTGCTATTAGAGCCGTGTTAGCTTTTTGGACTTCTGTTATCATATGATGTTCCTGAGTTTGGTTAGCGTGAGTTTGGTTGGAAATTTGATCCATTTTAATTTATGATGTTCGTATTTAAGATTTTAAATTTTTATATATATTATGCATGTTTGATTATAATTTCGTTAAATAATTACCTAGTCGTGCTTTTGTTTTGTTTTATACTTTATTCATATGCACTTTAATTAACAGATAACTTGTTTTATGTGTTTGAGTAAATTACACGAATGGTCTCTATGGTTTAGGGTAATTTACGCATTGGTCCCTAACTTATTTTTTTAACTCAGAAGGTTCTTACTGTTTGTTTTTGTTACACGTTTGGTCTCTGTCTTTACCCTTAATTTTTTAAAATATTTAAATAAACACACCCCAAACCCAACCTCCTCACCTAAAAAAAACTATGTGTTTATATCTTAATGACAAATGAAGACATGTGTTTATTATATTATGGTTTGTGACTTTTGTCTGACAAAACCTGATACGATACGACACCTGACACGAAATTAACGGGTTTCAGTAGAATATTTTGATACGTTTAAATAGATGGATTGACACGATGCGATACGAAAATTAAATGAGTTGCGTTAGAGTCAAAACTTTTAACTTGAAGATGATTCAAATATGACCCGTTTAATTATATATAATTTTTATAAATTTCATACTTTTAGAAACATATTATATATTATAGACTTGTAGTGAGTCAAACTCAAAAATTAAATTAAAATTAAAATTAAAATTTTCAGTGTGACTTAATTTTATTCTTCACAATCTATCTATTGACTCCCTAACTCTAATTCTTTCCATTTTGCTTTGACAAAATCGCAAAAATAGTCCCTGTGGTATGCATTTTTTTGGGGGTTTTAGTTTAAATCATGACTTTTTTGGATTAGTGGTCCTTTTGACCTAGTTTCCTTGCATTTTTGGTCCCGTATAAAACTGAAAAGACTAAAATGCCCTTCTGATACATTTTTATGGTTTTTGCTATTTAATTTAAAGTTTATTTAATAAAAATTATGGGGCACGCCTCTCTTTCTCTCTCTCTCTCTCTCTCTCTCTTTCTTATCTTCCTCAATCTATCTCCCAGTTTTACAAGTCACGATTATGGGATACAAGACCCATTTCCTTCGATCTCGACTGACATAAGAATAAGGGAAGCAATCACTAAAAAAAGTGGTGGTTGATCAATACCTCCTGCATTAATGATGACTGGGGGTGTTCCAGATCGTAGTGAGGGTTTCTCGGTGGTCACGATAACAACACCACCCTCATGGTGGTGGTGGTTTTCGGCAGCTACAAACGATCGAAAGCAAGGAAGGCAGAGTACCGACAAGAGTGGTGGTTGTGGAGTTCTGAATTCACAACAGCAGTCGTGGTGTCGGAGCTCTACAGTAACAGCGACAGTGGGCGGTGATGTGAGCTTCGCTGCTTCCATTTCTTGTTCTGACGAGTCTGATGAGGATAGAGGGGAACAAAGATGGGTACGACGGAGGGAAAAAGTAGCGGTGGCGACGAGATTTTTTTGTGGAGGAAAGAGCCCCAACGATAGTAGTGGGTGGCGACCTTGTTGCCTTGTTTCTCTTCTGTTGGTAACGAATGAGAGGGATAGGAGGCAGTGTGTCGGTGGTGATAAAAAACAACAGCAACCCAGTGGTGACGGTGATCTGCTGGTGAAGAAGAAGGGAAAAGGTAGTAACAAACGGAGAAGGAAGGAGGTTTGGGTGTGTTTGGTTGATAAAATAGCGGTTGTACAGTGCTCCTTAGCGGTGTTTGGTGACCACCGTACAGCAATGACAATGGAGGAGTAATTGATTTTCAGTGTGTGTGTGTGAGAGAGAGAGAGAGAGGACATGTGGGCCCAATTTTATATTTAATAATTATAATATTGTTAAAAAGTGAAAGAAAAATAAAAATTAAATTCACTAAGTGTATAATAGTCTTTTTAGTTTGGACAGGGACCAAAAATGCAAGGAAACTAGCTCAAAATGACCATCAATCCAAAAAAGTCGTGGTTTTTACTAAAATCCCCAAAAAATGCATACCACAAGGACCATTTTTGCAATTTTGTCTTTTGCTTTTTAAATTTACTATGAATTTTATCATTCCATCTCTCAATTATAGTTTTTCTTTTTCTTTTTTCTTTTTTTTTTTTTTTTTTAAAAATATAAAAAAAAAAAAAAACAAATAACTACTAGTGATTTGGTCAAGATTATGCTTCTCATACCTATCCATTTCTTTTTCATTCGGATAGTCTCACTAGTTTATTTATATATCGATTTAATAACCAATATACCTTATTATAATATTGTAAATTTTCAAACAAATTTTTTATTTTTATAAATCACATAATTCTCATAAAACACAATTCACAACTCTTCAAAATGACAATTTATCAAAAACACATGTTCATAAATTGTGTAAACACAATTCAGGATCCTCAAAACAAACTCCGTCTCGTGTGTACAATCAAATCGGCACATTCCCGTGATCCTGAGAAGTAGCTGAAACAGATAGCACATAACACAGTAAACACGAAGTTTAGTGAGTTCTCTAAAGTATCACAAACATCTCATTAGCCTCTCATGGCTAAACTTATATAGGACCCTCCGGTCAAAGTGTCTCAGTGGGATCAACTCGGATGAAGCCTCTCATGGCTCCTCTCGAAATCGTTCTAAAATGCGAAA